TAACTGTTTAATTACAAATAGCTCAAAGACCATAAGCAGTAGAGCCCAAAATCGAGTTTTATTGCATCCAGCGATGTCTAACTTAAATTTTGGTATATTCGACAGGCATTTTCGTCCAAGATTGACTGAGATATGAGTGTTTAAACTTTTGTTAGCAAATTTGAAACGGACACAAATTAGCTAAAAACGGCCTATTAAACTGATTTTTAGCTAATTTGTGACCGTTTCAAAATTGTTAACAAAAGTTTAAACTCTTATATCTCAGTTAATCTTGGACGAATATGCCTGTCAAATATACCAAAATTTAAGTTAGATATCGCTGGATGCAATTAAACTCGATTTATGGTTCTACTGCTTATTGTTTCTGAGTTACAAGTAATCAAACAGTTGTACTTTTTTTTGTGCCACCCGGTATATATATATATACGTGGAAAAAATGCGCAACTTGATCAATGTCCAATGACTACGGCAGCTTTCAATTTGCGCATTTTTTCGCGTACATATATACACTCGGAAAAGTCTAAATCTTTCTAAATTTTATACCGGTATAAGTACTATAATTACTTGAAAAGTACATTTAAAATCAAACACAAAACTAAATGCTATCCTTTTATTCATTTAATTATTTCTTAAGTGGACAAAAGACTTTCAAGTGGATTTAAATTTTTCCGTGCGTGTATGCAGGTACGAAAAATGCTTACTGCGAAGCAGCCAAGCCTAACACGTAATTGCAATTCAAAACCAGCGTAACAGCTGGGCATTCTGTTGTCGCTGTCTAAATATTGCGGGCGCATTTCTTTAACAAACATTTTGATTCTTCGAACGCTGAAAATATGCATTGTGAGAGGATTTTTTGTCCTCTTTTACTGGTTTGTTCATGGAAAATAAAGTGTTTGTTGAAAGATTAAGTTGTAGTGCTCTTACGCAACGATACAACGACTTAATCGCATGAAAACGTGCGAAGAATTTTTATTTACAAATGGGCGACAAGTGGAAATGTTTCACTCATTGTCAGAGATTCAGAAGCAGGGTACAGCAGTATGGAAACAAGGAAGTGTTCATATTTTACTTTTGATAGAAGATGAGTTGTTGCTGTTTCCACAGGTATGTTCAATACTTTGTTTGTCCTTCCTCATCTGGAATAATAAGTGTCTTAAAATACATATTTTGATGAAAATGACACATATTCCTCTTGCAATTTCGTAAAAACTGGCCGTTGCCTTTAGTTAGAAAATATATTTTATGAAAGTTAAATCATACTTTGTTTTATTAAAACCCGAGCTATTCATGGGAAAAATGTGCTAGATGTTGTAATTGACAAATCCACTTGTGAAGTGAAAATGTCATGTTGTCACATGCTTATGAAATTGCTCCTGTATTGGTTTGTTATAAAGTAAAAATTGCTGCAAAAATGCTTTTGAAAATGTTCAAGTATTGTTTGTTATGAGATAAGAAATGCCGTATTGATTTGTTCAGTTTTAAGAGTCTAACGGCAATCCTGAATATAGGCATGCTTGCTTTGTGAAATTCTGTGGTGATATGGCATATAAATAAAAATATCTTAAAATTTTTACCATTGCCTCTCTCCGAAATATGGCTTAAAACTATCCTTATTAGTCAACCTTCATGGAAAAGTTAGTGGGTATGCTGGGAAAAATGCGCGCGGCACTTTTTTTGGACACTGAAGATGGTAACATTTGATGTTGTCATATATTGCCATCCTCTTATCATAGCATAACTTAACTTATTTTAGTGAGTTTGTTAAAGCATTGTGCTCACTATATGCCTGTAGTATCTAAGACTTTTTCATAGCATTATATGACAAATTTAAGTTCTGTTTTCTTTTATTTTTAGGTGATAGTATCTGTTCACTTGAGTGTTGGTATCAAATTTTGGACAAGTTTCAATTTCACACCCCTTTGTTCAAATATCCAAATAAATGGAATATGACATCAAACTGGACAACTAGATTCTGTTTCCAAACTTGTTCTTGTAAATATAGAAAATAACAATTTACTATGTGTTGTTCTAATAAAAACTATTGTTTTTGATATGCATATTTAATTTTTAAAATTACAGTCATTCTTTGCTAAAATGTGTACCAGGAATACTGAAATCTTTCAGATCAGCTACCATTTCCCTTTATAACTTATGTAGCCAAGTGTTCTATCAATTTCTGTTCAGATTAAACAAATGATGGGTAAAATATCTTATTTTTAATTTAAAACCTTTGGATTGCATAGCTTAATGTTTAGATTCTTTCAAAAAAAATGAGCTTGCCTATTTTGAAAGCATAAAAAGCAATAAAATAAAGCAAAAGTACTTATTTTTAATTTAAAACCTTTGGATTGCATAGCTTAATGTTTTATACTAAATATTACAAAGTTTTCGTTCATTAAAATGTTGTTTTATCAGCTTTAAAACCAGATAAATCCACGAAGCACTCCTATAAATATATGTCGCCATATTTTTTTCGCGCATGCTCCGTACAAAATGCCCAGCTGTTAACCAGCGTATGTTTTGCACTAATGAACCTTCGGAGTAGTGAACCTTCGGACTAGTGATTAGTGAACCTTCGAACTAGTGGGAAGTGAGGAAGTCACCCAAACGAAGCACGGAAATTTTTTCCACGCTAGCGAGAAATTCGATTCATGATTTGTTCGTGTTATAAATTCTCCTCGTGAGATTTATTCCTTTGCTGGTTCTCGAATATAATGGGACTGTATGCTTTCGGTTTTCACAAATTTTATTCTATTATCATTCGTTACATATGACTGATCACTGCTATCGACATACAAACACTCTATCACAATCTTTCACAATTCATCGCAACTTATTTCAACACACTCACAACTCATTCGCAACTCGACTCCTTCTTTCGACAATCTCACTCGTATTTATACGCTCTGACTTTTCATACTGTGGGAACTTTTTCCCAGAGGAAGTTCAATGTGTGACGCAAATTGTTCACATCTTCCTCGCTTGGTTGACCACAAGTCAACATACAAACTTCCCTTATTTACTAACTAATAATTCCGTCTTATTTACTAAAATGTTTAAAGTTCCTGTTTTTGTTTAATAATGTTCGTATTTCCTGTTATTCAAATGTTCCAGTTTACTTCATACATATTTTTGGTCATAACATTGATGACGAGACAGACGGCTCTAGGTTCGCAGCTCCAGGTTCGCGAACCTGGAGCCAGCTCCAGGTTCGATTTCAACCTGGAGCTGGAACGACTAGTTTGTAAATAAACTGCTTTGCCCGCTTAACCACTAATGGAAATCCAATTTTTTAGAAAGACCATTTTTACTTGTCATATTCCTTAGTATGTGATGGAAAATGAAGACATTATTCCGTTCCATTCGTCCATGGTAGCTTGTGAAAGATCACTGTTTTTTCTGACAAAGGAGCTGGTCAGCGGTGGGATAGATCACAAAGCTCGTTTTTAAAACCTTATTTTTTTACCTTTATAACGAAAAACGTAAAATTTTGATTGATGACCATTCTAGAGAATGTATTCAAAAGTAATGTCAAGCGTTGAACTTATTTCCATATCGCGAAACCGCGATAAATAACTCGCGCAAAGTTGAACTGTCTAATTTCACGCACCTCCCGGTTGTGTTAATTTTATCCTTCCATAAATACAACAACTTTGGTATCCGTACATTTACGCTTTATATGAGTAATAAATTGATATGTTAATGACATAATATCATTTGTTGCGCTTTTCTGAAGAACTAACGATATAAACATGCTTAATATCTGAAACACACGACGCAAACAAGATCGCTAAAAATGGTGTTATTATGCGGCTCAAGTCGTCGAAAGGCCACAACATGTCAAATACGTCTAACATCGTCTAAATTGCTTCGCACATTTCTTGCTAATTTCGTCCTGCTACGAATTTCTAAAAGATGACCCTTCTAGACTAATATTCATACTATCATATTTTACAGCATTTGAAACTTTAGGATACATATCCACCATGAGCAACTCATGAAAACACTAGCATTCGTTACCGAGATGAGAAATCAACTTTCAAGAGATGTGAAATATTACACCTAAACAATATTCCGTGTTATCTGGCACGTGCAAGACATTTAATAATCTCAGGAGAAAACCGTATTAACTATAATGTCATGCATAGGTTTTTATACGCTGTATTCTTTTTTTAACACGTGAGCTAAAAATATCGGTTTTGCCCGTATAAGTTAATTAATAGGAGGGGTGTGTTTTAAGCCTTCTTAATTAACATAATCAGCGCAATCGCAAATTCAAACCTAAAAGCGTTGTGTTTTTTCATGTATTGAAAAAATACAGCGCATACCTAAACAAGGAAAATTGCCTTGTTCCTATAAACCTATTCCTCGGCACTCTTAAATGCCTTGCCATGTCCTTGTTGCATTTGCATTCCATTATGAGTGTCCCTATATGTCGTGTGTCGTGTGTCGTGGGTTAAAAGTCGTGTGTCGTGGGTAAAGTCGTGGGTAAAGTCGTGGGTAATGTCGTGGGTCTTAAAATGTGCTAAAAACGCATTTTTTCATATTTTTATTTTTAATATTTTTTTCGTACTTTTTCCTTTTATGCGCTAGATAAATACAGGAAAATTTAACGCAACAAATCTCCAGTAATAAAACAATTTCTTATCTTGCTGTTGTCTATAGTATAACAAGTAAATGTTTCCGTTTCGTATAGTGTTATAATAAGTCTATAAATGTATTGTTTGATGATAAAATGTCCTAAGTTATAGGATATTAGGATATAGGTTTATTAGCTTTGGAAGTGTTATAGTCCCTATCATGAACGTCGCGAATAACTATGTCGATTGCATATGTCTGATGCAAACATATTGAGCTATAAATTCTACGTGGCCAACGCTCGAGCCTCACTGAATTTTGCTATTTTATCTCCTAGACCTAGTATATGTTCGTGGCCCACTGGCCCTTAAAAGTAGACAAACATTTCATGTGTATGTGGCGTTCGGAAATATTCCATAAATTGCTACGATTTGGGATTTCGCGATTGAAAACCGAAATGATTTGTGCGATGTCGCCATGTAGTCGGGCTATTTGCCAACCGAGCGCGCTAGCCGCTGTTATTTTGACAGAATATGATACCTCTACACTTTTCAGCGGAAATACATAATGCACGCATTGTAATCATATACATATCGTTTAATTTAGATTCAAAAACTTATTTTGTTAAACGTAAAATGCGCAGCATGTTGCGTACATTAATATCAAAGAAAAAAGGTGACTTCATTAGACTGAAATAAGCAAGATTTCCCGTTAGATATACATGATTTATACCCAGGCGGCTTTGCATGTGTTCTGCCTCTGGCAACTATGACACCCAGGGGCGGATCCAGCCAATAATCTGACCGTAGCATTTGGAAAGACCTCGTATTGCTAGGGGGGTCCGGGGGCATGCCCCCCCCCGGAAAATTTTTGAAATTTGAAGCCCGGAAACACCATTTCCTGCGTTCTGAGCGGCGTATTTCCTCCTCAAATTTCGGTCCTCAACAAATAAACATTTTAGACAAAAGTAACGAAAAACAAAGTTTCGTTTTATTCCAATTGCGATACACTGCAGCTTTGTTCATATGGACAGTGAAGCATTTGCTTTTGGAGTTTTGGTGGTTGTGATATTAAACATCAACAGTTTGAGTTGGATAGTAAGATTGACTTGTAAGCCAATTACCGTCGCTAAAGGAAACATCAAGAGTTCGTAATTATGCGCATTATGCATTGCTTCTACAGTAGGCTAACTGCTGCTGTATGATCATATTTTCAAAAACTGACATGCCAGTATCAGACAAGCACTTTGCAAAGGCAATTTTAAGCCAAGTGAACGCTCCATTCTCATCCTGCGAATTAACTACGGGATGACCGGCATAGTATGGAGCATGTTCATGCAACTCAATACAGGGTGTATCATAAAAAAGTAGACTATTTTGAAACGGCTCTCAATTTCATAAACCCGATGTCATTAAATATTTGATAAATATAGATTGTTTGGGTACTTATAATGTAGAATGATCAAGAAATTTTCGTAAAGATTAATTTTCCAAAGCAGGGGACGTCTTTTTAGCAGCATTAAAAATAGCTTGCTTGTGAAATTTTAAAGCCAGGTTAAAATGCATTTTGAGTTCATGGACGAGAAATTTGTTACGTGTTTTATTAAATGGTCCAAATATCAGAAAATTTGCTCAATTTTAAGTCCTTCAAATAGGCGCTGAAACTTTCATTTTTTGGCACCAATGCCTTTCACGCATGCTTAATTAATTCATGCATTTACCTAATTCGCATATTGTTACTTGAATTAATTCACTTTTCTTTACAACACAGTTAAAAAATCTATGTTAACCCATTACAGTATCGTGCAACATCTTTCCAATGATGACTAAAGTTACCCAAGAACCAGACAAAGTAATGTAGCACAGAATGTGGTATTTTGGTGTGTATTGTGACGTATTACAGTAATTGAGTGAACTATCGTTTATATTTGCTTGCATGGCCAATCTTCACATGGTTCATTTGACTAACAGCTATATGAGACAATGGGGGAGATGCAGGCTTTTAGCCAGGATCCTAAAAGAGGGCGTCCCATTTGGTACGATACATCTTCAGTAAGGGGGGGGGGTTCGAGAAGTTTATGTTACTTCATATCAGTATCTGTTCCAAGCTCGTTCGAAATTTTTCAAACACACTTGACTTTGTGAGTACTGAATTTGTGCTGCTATGCTTCTTTACTTAATTATGACATTTTCATTCAGCCAGGTACTCCATCAAATTGATCAAAATGTCAAATGTATAATAATAATGAGAATTGAAGCTATTTTGTTTCAGATATATTAATATACTTAGGGAAATCATTACAAATAATTTCCTTTTCCCCCCAGAATTTGGGTGTCCAAAGGCGTCCATTTTTTGTTCTATGGGCGTCGCAGGACGCCTGGACACCCTAGGCAAAAGCCTGGGGTGATGTGGTGACTACCCATATAACCACCCAGTTGTCAGAAATCTTAATTCTTTAACTTATTGAGAGCCAGCACTCTCCCCTTGACAAGTAAAATCATCTGGTGCTAGACAGAGTAAAATAATAAAGTATGGCACTTTAGGCCTCATTAATTTAATTTAAATTAATTTATTAACTTTACCAGATTCAAACAATTAACGTTAACACAAAAACTGGTAGGGCAATCGCAACAGCTTGCGCCAATTACTGCGATCCCTAAATGTTAGACAAATACACTATATACGTACATAGAAAAAATCAATTACTAACAAACTATCAGATTCAACTTTTCACATTGTGGCCCGCAGGACCACTTCTAATTAGAGCACACTGCAACTCAATGAGTTAAACTTATATGTATATATATATATAGCCTACGGTACCAATTTATAGCTTTCAATCAGATGTAAAAATAGAAGAAAAAAAATTTTAAAGCTTTGTTACACACATAGTTATTCAATCACCATTTAAAGACTTTCAGGAATTATTTGGGGGAGGGGCTAATTGGCCCCCTTGTATGCACTGATAATAAGAATATTTATATCAGTAATCTGTAGTCTCAGATGATATTTCCCCCATTTCCATGATTGTTTAAGTGCTCATAACTGTAAAAGTGTGGTTGCAACTTGCTTTCAAGTGTTTAAAGGCTCAATGTTATATTGCTCCATAATAGGGCTTTTTGCTTGACAACCTGCCTAAAGCCTGATTCACAGTTAGTGATTTTGTTGACGAATTTCTCATCCTGACAGATTCAAATGAGTGGGCTAAGGGCTTGCATACAATTGGTTTTCACAAGTATACGTTTCCATGTCTTTTGCATGTTACTCACCCAGTGGTCTCCCCCTCAGCAGGAGAAATATTTGCCGAAAAAGATTTGCTGGTTGAGAACCTGAATTAAGATCATCTCAAAACACGTCTCAATGTGAAGATGGCTCACCTCCATATAAACACATCCTAATTTTATCCAGTAATTTTTGACACAATAATTTATAGGATATTCAATATATAAGTTAAACATGCCACCATACTGCATATTATTAATATCACCAAAATATTTACAAATAAAGTAACATTGAATTTGTAAATATTGCATTGCCGGTAATGGTATAGGCGCCATATAACTAATGCATACATGTCAACCAAACGGTATTGTCGTTCACAATACGAGTCTTTAATTAACAAAATATACCAACCAGACATGCAGTTACATGTAATATTATTTCACATTGTAACTTTATCACAAAGAAATTAAATTAATATATACTAGTGAATCGACTGGATAAATAAAACATTGTTCATGAATCATGATGACATGTTTGCATGATAACATTCGGTGCTCAGCTAATATTTCGCTGTAATATATTCGATCACAATAAATTTACATACACAATGCAATTTTGCATACAGATACAAGTTATAAATATTAGAAGTCAGATTCAGTCTCACCTTGCAGGTATTAAAGCATAAGCGCAGGTCTATCTTTCTAGACGTTCGTATATGTTTTCTATTCCAACTTCGCTTGCTGTCTTCCCGACCACAATGTTGATTCAACAGTTCCGCTTGAAACTTAACGTCTTAGCGCCAAAAAATTTCACTAAGTTTCGTACTAGAAGGCATGCACGAACAATGCACAGTGAGAAGTTTCCGAACTGTTCCCGATTTAACCATTTCCATAATATTGCGCAACAAAAACATGGCCACCGTGTCGCACCGTGTCTCACGTGACAAAATCTCGGCCTGTGATTGGCTTGACACGCTCCACCGTGTCAAGAAGTTACTATATTTAGTAACAGCAGAACCGCGGACCGTGTCTCAAAATCGCAGTCGCATTTGACGAACATTTTCCGAACTTAAAATGATCAACTTCGAGTAGTTCTCGGTTATCGTCGTGGCAAACATTTAATATCCAGCAAGTGCGGGGTTTTCCCAGTGGGTTTTCCCAATGTTTTGAAACTTTTACAGCACAGGAATTACATCTTTTGAGATATTTACGTTTTTATTTCGCGATTTTGTTTAAAAAAAAACAGTGATACGTAACGCTGGACCAGGAGTATATATCTGTTTGAAGTTGTAATGTTTGGGACGTTTATACGTATAAATAACGATCGCTTCCGTCCTTATAGACCAATTTAGAGAATATGACGATCTCAAAAATCTGACCGTGTCTCAAGCCACGCTTGCTACCCCCTGGATCCGCCCCTGAACACCATTGCGCTCCGCGGGAACCCACACGAATAACATGTTTTTTATCAAGTTTTTGAAGCTAAATTAAACGATATGTATATGATTACAATGCGCGCTGAAAATTACGGCTGAAAAGTGTAGAGGTATCATATATTCTGTCGAAATAACAGCGGCTAGCGCGCTCAGTTGGCAATTAGCCCGACATCGCACAAATCATTTCGGTTTTCAATCGGGAAATTCCAAATCGTAGCAATTTATGGAATATTTCCGGACGCCACATACACATGAAATGTTTGTCTACCTTTAAGGGCCACGAACATATACTAGGTCTAGGAGATAAAATAGCAAAATTTGAGGCTCGAGCGTTAGCCACTAATTATACAGGCACTGCAGCGTAAAATTTATAGCTCAATATGTTTGTATCAGACATATGCAATCGACATAGTTATTCGCGACGTTCATGATAGGGACTATAACACTTCCAAAGCTAACTGATAAACCTATATCCTATATATAACTTAAGACATTTTATCATCAAACAATACATTTATACTCTATAGAGGCTTATTAGACTATACGAAACGGAAACAAAATCAAACATTTACTTGTTATACTATAGATAACAGCAAGATAAGAAATTATTTTATTACTGGAGATTTGTTGCGTTACATTTTCCTGTGTTTATCTAATGCATAAATGGAAAAAGTACGAAAAAAATATTAAAAATAAAAATAATATCTTCGTTTTAGCACATTTTATGACCCATGGCTTTACACACGACTTTTAACCCACGACACACGACATATAGGGACACTCGAATCGTCATTAAAAGTAATCTGTTTGCCAGATGGGACAACAAAATGTTGTGCGTCAATGTCACCTTTAAGTCTTTAAACGATTAGTGTCAGGGGGTAGGGGTAAAACGCGGAAACGGAACGGAACGGACTGGCGGAACCGGAAAAGCGGAAACGGAATAGAGGGTAAAACGCGGAAAAGAGGGTAAAACGCGGAAAAGAGGGTAAAACGCGGAATAGAGGGTAAAACGCGGAATAGAGGGTAAAACACGGAAAAGAGGGTAAAACGCGGAAAAAAGGGTAAAACGCGGAAAAGAGGGTAAAACGCGGAAAAAAGGGTAAAACGCGGAAAAGAGGGTAAAACGCGGAAAACAAACTTTGAAACCAAACTATACTTAAAAATTCGTTTAAGATAGTTTGTTTTAGGTTTTGGAGTGCTAAATCAGTATCATTACTTCGAAGATTATATTCTCTATTAAGATGTTTAATTTTTATAAATTTTTCTCTAAGACTTGGAGCGGACTGCTCATTAAGAATTTTATACATCAAAACGCTGTTCACCCAATGACGTCTTACATCATATGCCCACCGACTAATAATCATACACCTACTATGTAAAGGCCGGTTTACACCATCAAAGTTACTGTGATCAAAGTGGCGTCATCTCGCCCAAGCAAACTTGTGACTTAAATACTTGTGGGTAGTAGCGGCCGTATTTGTTTCGCGAGAAAAAAGATTCACTTCGCCATTACTGGATAAGTATAGCGGGTCAGTTATAATTCTCTCAAGTCTGTTGTTTAATTTAAGAAATGCCGACTTGACGCCAACGGAACCTGATAATTTGAGAAAAACACTTGCGGTTTGACAAAGAATACCACCTACGCAGTAATTGGCTAATCGCTTTCAGTGCGAATATCTTGCCATAGGCTTAGTCGCTTTATAGAGATAGTCTATTCTGTATTATCCATACAAGCGTCGAGTCTGCAAAAATTTCATGATACATATACTTAAAACATAACATTTTGACACTAAATACACAACGATTACCGCGCTGTCAGTGCAAGTTTTCTTTGCATATACACTGTAAATTTCAAGGAGTTGAATCAACTCCGCCGAGTGTTATATTGTATCACTAAAAACGATGACAGAATAGCTATTTTAGAGTTGTTTCAACTACTTGAAATTTACAGTTTAGACAACATGTTTCACAAATCTAAGGAACTGTGTACACCATTTCAACGACCGAATTAATCAAATTGTCAGATATTTAATTTAATTTAAATAACCCGGAAACATGTTGTTTGTGCAAAGAAAACTTGCCCGCAGCGCGCAAATCTTCTTTGAAAAGCCGTTAAAAAATTGTATGTTTACACGCGCAAAAAGTGACGTATTTAGTGACAAAATGTTATGTTTTGAAAGGTAAAATGGTAAATATCATGAAAAATTTGCTTTCAAATAACTCTTACGAGTCGTTTGGGAACACGCTGACTCGACTTAATTAAACACAAGTTATGGTGTCATATAACTGACAGGGTAATGTTATTTCATTTATCACTATACTTTTGACAGTCACAGTTAACGAAAGGACTAGTTTAACTGATACTTGAAGGAAAAGAGGGTAAAACGCGGAAAAAAAGTTTTAGAATTGTTTTCTTTTTGCGCGGTAGGTATGTAGCTTGGTAAAACTGTATTTATTTAAAAATTATACACACTAGTCCGGTAGTCCCTTCAACTATGATTTCCACGAAGGGCGTGTGTTATGTCATAAAATACTCATACGTTTACGATATTCTGATATTATTAACAACCCTGATAACTCAAATATTACACTCAATTAACCTACATAACTACTGGGGTGTATGGGGGGTGTAACCGACCCCCAAATAATAACACCACCCATAAAAAATGGTATGAATAACTACATTTAAGCCCCCATTATGTAAAACTAGTGTATGTAAACCCCCTCTCTCCCCGCCCATTATGTAATTACCCATAATGTAACATTTTCCGGAAAAATTTAACGCTAACATTTTCCGCAAAAATATATTCTATAAAAGCTATATTCTGAAATATAAAGTCCATTAGTAAGTTTTATACCAATCCAAACCTCAGTGCAATTGAAAATGTTTTGACTTTGCATTATAAAACTGGTAAAATTTAGACATCTTATCATAGATATCCTATATACACTAGATAGTGCACCTAATTATTCTGCAATTCAAAAATTGAAGCCGTGATTGCAGTCTCAGGGTTATTTAAATTAAATATCTGACAATTTGATTAATTCGGTCGTTGAAATGGTGTACACAGTTCCTTAGATTTGTGAAACATGTTGTCTAAACTGTAAATTTCAAGGAGTTGAAACAACTCTAAAATAGCTATTCTGTCATCGTTTTTAGTGATACAATATAACACTCGGCGGAGTTGATTCAACTCCTTGAAATTTACAGTGTATATGCAAAGAAAACTTGCACTGACAGCGCGGTAATCGTTGTGTATTTAGTGTCAAAATGTTATGTTTTAAGTATATGTATCATGAAAATTTTTGCAGACTCGACGCTTGTATGGATAATACAGAATAGACTATCTCTATAAAGCGACTAAGCCTATGGCAAGATATTCGCACTGAAAGCGATTAGCCAATTACTGCGTAGGTGGTATTCTTTGTCAAACCGCAAGTGTTTTTCTCAAATTATCAGGTTCCGTTGGCGTCAAGTCGGCATTTCTTAAATTAAATAACAGACTTGAGAGAATTATAACTGACCCGCTATACTTATCCAGTAATGGCGAAGTGAATCTTTTTTCTCGCGAAACAAATACGGCCGCTACTACCCACAAGTATTTAAGTCACAGGTTTGCTTGGGCGAGATGACGCCACTTTGATCACAGTAACTTTGATGGTGTAAACCGGCCTTTACATAGTAGGTGTATGATTATTAGTCGGTGGGCATATGATGTAAGACGTCATTGGGTGAACAGCGTTTTGATGTATAAAATTCTTAATGAGCAGTCCGCTCCAAGTCTTAGAGAAAAATTTATAAAAATTAAACATCTTAATAGAGAATATAATCTTCGAAGTAATGATACTGATTTAGCACTCCAAAACCTAAAACAAACTATCTTAAACGAAGTTTTAAGTATAGTTTGGTTTCAAAGTTTGTTTTCCGCGTTTTACCCTCTTTTCCGCGTTTTACCCTTTTTTCCGCGTTTTACCCTCTTTTCCGCGTTTTACCCTCTATTCCGCGTTTTACCCTCTATTCCGCGTTTTACCCTCTATTCCGCGTTT